TTCCTTGACCTTATTTTTCAAAAGAACCTGCTATTCCAGATTTGCAAATCATCTCAGACCATTTTCTCTTACTATTCCAGTACCCAAGAGTGAATACTTTGTATGCAAAAAGAAAAATACTTAGGTCATGGCTTGGAAGTCAAAGAACATGGCACCAGCAAACTGGACTCTGATGAGTGCCTTCTTGTACCATCATAATGTGGCAGATGGCATCATGGCAGGACCGTGTGAGACGGAGAGTGATCACATGGCAAGAGAACAAACAACAAAGCCTCAGGAATAAGGCATATTCTTTTCTATAACAACCTGCTTGTCAGGAACTACATGCAGATCTAGGAGAGCCATGCTAGCCTCTTACAAAGCTGCTACTCATAATGACTTGATCATCTGCCAAGCTCACTCTTGAAAATACTACCTACCGTCCCTCTATAGCACCATTGCTTACTTTCCTATTGCTCAGTTAAAATATTGAACATCTAAAACAAAAAAGCTGAGCTTTAGTTTGGGCCACATTTTCCGTCCATGTTTTCTTGGCTCCAAAGTAGAAACAGCATGATGGAAGGGCCAGGATTGAGCACATCTGCTCATTCCATGGTAGCCAGGAAGCAGGATGAAAAGGAAAGAGGTAAAGATGAAAATATATTCTTCTAGTTCATATTGTTGGTGACTTATCTCCAACCAGGGCTCACCTCCTAAGGCATATTCAGCTACTAAGCTCATCAATGAATGAATCTACTGATGTGTAATAGAGTCCTTCCACACATGAGTATATAGGTGAATATTTTAGATACAAACAATAATATTTTGTCCCAGGGACAAAAAAAAGTTATGTAAAATATGTTTAGTCCATCTCTCAGAGTCATCAGAGTTAACAGTTCCAGCATTGCTAAAATGTCTAAGTACAGTTTTCTCTGAGATTTAAGGAAAATTCTTAATTTTGAGCCCCTAATATCAAAAAGAAACTTGCATACTTCCAACATACATTGGGACAGAGTAAACATTCCAATTCTGAAAGACAGGAATAGGGGGATAGAAAAGAAGAGGACCAGAGTGAAGCTGAAACCCAGCCAGGAAAGCATTGAGTCCTGTAGCTCCATGTCTAGCACTCACAGCAGGTTGTGGGGAGATGTGAGCTCAGAAGAAGTGGCTGTCCCAGGTCCCTCTGCATTGTCAGTTGCAGCCCAGATGGCCTCTGTTTGCGATGGCAGCATTCCTCAGTAGATATTGCATGTTGCTGCCACCTCCACCTTCCTGAAGTCTTTACTACACTTTTGGTTTCATTCACAGCTTCAATCACTGGCCTCTCAAGAGGTGCACTGATTGGCCTCCCAGGCCTGTTTCTGAAATGTGGGTAGAAATCCTTCTAATCATACAACTCTTGCTTTTTGTGTTCTTATAAAGTCAGCTTTACATGGCTGATACCAATGTCTACTGCCAGCTCAAACAGCAGACACACCTCTGTAGGATTCATCTGCAGAATTCTCTGACTATTTGGATGACTGAACTTGGGGAAACATTTTCCTCTGTCACTCTGAATGAACAGGACACCTTATGGTTCTCTTCTCAAATGAAAGCTTTCCATTTTGCACCCTTGGACATATCAAGGGTGAGATCTAGCTGATTCCTGAGATGCTTTCAAGTCACTTTGTTTTGTCCTGATGTAAAATACTTGACTTTTATTTTTTAATGCTATTTTTCCAGCATCCATGCTCACCATGGCTGTAAGATTGCAGGAACATATTTTCTGATGAAACTGCAAAATTTCTAAATTATTTTGGTGCCGTTTATTGCTGATTTTTATTACAGAACTGGTTAAAATCTGCCAGCAGTACTCATGCCACAATCAGAATATTGGGCTATTTTGAATTGTTCAGCAGATTAATTAGCTTGTTGCTCTTAATCTCAATATTCTTAAAAATACCAGAACATAAGGAAAAAGTAGGTAAAATTTCTGCCAGAGCACAGCAGAGATGGCTTCTTGTCTAACTGCCAAAGTATTCCTTGTTCCCAACTGAAACCTCCTGGGCTTAACCTTTGCTGTGTGCATTTTTATTAGCATCCTGGTCTTTGAGGTCAGACCAGAATCTTCCATCAAGCTTGCCCAATAGCTTTCTAGGGCTTCTTCAGCCAGTGTCTACAAATCTTTCCAAACACTTCTCACAAAGCATTGCCAAAGGTTTTGTCAAAACCATATGGTTAGGTACAGTTGTAGTAACAGCACACTTCCCTGGCACCAAAATCGTTCTCAGTCACTTTCCTGTCACAGAATACTTGACATTTGTGACTCAAAGGAGGAGAGTATTACTTTGGCTCATGGGTTATTCCATAGATGGCAGACTTCAAAGCATAAACAGAGGAAAAGGGGTTCAATCCATGGAAACCAGGAAACAATATGAGAAAGGAAGAAGCAAGGATGTGAATACACATGGCACCAGTACACATGTGACTGTCTCCAAAGGCCCACCTTCACACAGGCCTCGCCTCCTGATACCACCTTGTGCTGCTGACCTCATCCCGGGACGAATCCACTGATCAATGTAGCAACCTTACAGTTCAATCACTTTCTACATACATGAGAATTTGGGGGAAATTTTTAGATCTAAACTGTAAAAGATGCTGCTCAAGATGTTACAGTTTCAGCTGTGAATAAACTCCTTTTCTTTTATAAGACTCAGAGCTGGATTTCAAGAGGATATTCAACAGTATCATCATAGAACATGATCATTTTTCACAGAGACTACACACTCAAACTGTTCAGTTTTAGAGTCCCCATGTTTATCTTGGTTTTTAAGCTACATATAGAATTTAGGTTCATGATTTATATTACTTTAGTATATTTTTCTTATAACTTTCTGCTGGCCAGTATTGCCTGACACATAGCACTCAATTATAGTGTTTGAAGTACAGGCAAGAATAAAACACTGAGTTTGTTAAAACTTTCTCTGCTTCATATATGCTTAACTTTATCCATTTTCCACTATCTATGTAGAGAACATAAATTTAAAAAAAAACAGAGGAACAAATAATCAGGATTGTCAATTCTTTGAATATTTTCTAAGAGAGCTAGATTGAAACAGAAGGAATCACAAATAGCTAATTCCTTTATCAAGTACGCTCTGTTCATTATCTGAAACAATCATGTTCAAAAACAAGCCACAATTCTTCCAGCTGCCCACTGGTCCTCCACAGGCAGTTGAGCACTGACCTGAGGGACAGCTGCCATGTCATGAGCTTCAGGGCCTTCATACTTTTCCAAGGAAGAATGTCGCTTATAATCTTCATTCTACTTACACATATGTACTGTTGTTTACTAGGGTAATGTACTCACAAATGCCCACCTATTCTCAACCTTGCTAAAATGTCACTTTCTTAGTGAGGTCTCCCTGATTTCCCACTGACAATGACATCCTGCCCTCCTCCGTTCTCCACTAACCCTTTGCTCTGCTCCTGTATCCTCTTCAACAAGGTTGGTGATCTTTCAGTATAATATATAACACAGTTTTTATGTTTATTGTTTGATGGGAGAAGTTACTAAATGCCATGCCCCCCTTTAAGTGAAAGAATTTTTAGAATATTTAAAATGAATTTTTGTGATATTGAGAACTGAACTCGAGACCTTAACAAGAGCTATAGCTCCATCCTTTTTATTTTTTATCCTAAGGCAATGCATCACAAAGTCAGTACATTTCCCAAGATGGGCTTCAGTTTATGATCCCTCTGTCTTATAATCCCAGGGTGCTACCATCACATGTGGGTACCACCATAACATGCTTGAAAACACATTTTTAAGTGAGACAATGTTGAACTATTTATATCTGGGTGTAACTAATGGCCTACTACAATTGTCCTGTGGAAAGGTTTCTGTATTTTTGCAACAAATTATAAAATGTGTGTGCTTGTGTTCTATTTTCCCTTTACCACTAGAAACTGCGAAAGCTTATGTTAAGGGGAAAGAGACATTTTTTTTGTTTAGTCTTTAAAAATACATGTTAAAAGTAAAGAGAACTATGTATGTCTTGACCTAAAAAGAAACTATTATGTATAAAAAATAATGTACAAAGTATAAAGAAAAATAATTATCTTTAGATAATAAAAAAGCAATTACTATAAGACAAGGGAGAGAAGATACAATCTACAGAATGGGAAAAAATTCACCAGCTATTCCTCAAACAGAGGAGTGATATCTAGAATATATAACGAAGTCAACATTTTAGATACCCCATTAACCAAAATGGACAACTTAAGTGAATAAAAACTTCTAAGAAGCAGAAATACAGATCAATAAATACATAAAGAAATGCTCAATATTGTTTGCAATTAGAGAAATGCAAATTAAAACCACAGAGATTTCATTTATTCCAGAAAGAATGGTTATCATCAGGAACACAAATAACAAACCCTGCTGAGGATACAAAGAAAAAGGAAGCCTTTAACATTGCTGGTAGGAATGTAAACTAGAATAAGCACTATGAAAACCAGTATTAAAATTTCTAAAAAAAAAAAAAAAAAAAAAAAAAAAAAACCCTACTAAAACTAGAGATTCCATTTAACCCATGCACTCTCCTACTAAGTGTCTTCCTGAAAGAATTAATGGTAACATATTACAGGGATACATACATATTCATGTTTATAGCACACAACCCATGATAGATAAAACTTGGAAACTGCCTATGTGTTTATCAACAGATGAATGAATAAAGAAAATAGTAGAGGAATACTGTGCCACAAAGATGGATAAGCTTGAATCATTTTTAGGAGAACTGATGCACCTTGGGTCTATAATATTAAAATAAATAAATAAAGAACTTAATTATTGCATGGTTGTTATGAGAAACCCAAAATATAAATGAAGAGAAAAATAAGAGCTAGATAATAGAAAGTAGAGTGATGGATCTTTGTCAAATGTGGAAGGGACCAAGAGATGGCAGGAGGGGGTTCCTATAGTAACTGTCTTCATTGGTAGGTCTTCCTTTGCTGATCTAGTGATTTTTTTTTAACAGGTCTCTAAACTTGCTGGTGTTTTGGTCAAGTATGGTATCAAAAAAGGTGACACTGTTGTCATCTACATGCCCATGATCCCACAAGCAATGTATACCATGCTGGCCTGTGCAAGAATAGGAGCTATCCACAGTCTCATATTTGGGGGATTTGCATCTAAAGAACTAAGTAGTCGCATTGACCATTCAAAGGTAAGTGCTTTCTCTGGGGAAGTCCAGTTGTGGCTACCCATAAATAGTGATGCTAACTACGGAGAAATCATTCAAGAATGATTTCACTTTTTGTTCTTCCTTACAAACAGGATACTTAAAATTTACTTTTGTTTTTTGATGTGTAAGCATTAATCAAATATTTGTTTTTAAGTTAGTTCAATGTGAAAGAAATCTTCCTAGGCAGTCATTCAGTTTTAATGTTGCAGCACAGGGCTTTAGAAAATGCAAAAGCAAATACGTACGTCAGTATCTCAGTAATACTATACTAAAAGATCCCTAATTAGAGGAAGTAGGTCTCTAATTAGAAGAAGGAGGATTTTCTTAATGGTTGGGTGGGAAGGAAGGATTCCTGAAAAAGAAAATAACTGAGTTAAAATCTTGGCTAAGATTCATGTGGTTTACGGGAATGATGTAGTGGGTCCCCCAAAATGGAGAAAGAGTACAAATCAAACATTAGAGGGAGGAAGGATAATAGTCATTTGGGAGAGCAGCCAACAAATTAGTGTGGCAGAGAAGGGAGAAAAATTGAGCTTGCAAAGGCAGGTTTTGTGTGAACTGTAGACAAACTAGTGAAAAATTTTCAAGCAGGAGTGTCATGGTTCAAGGAATGCTAAGCATCAGAAAGCTCTCTAAATCGCACTCACGAAAGAAAAGATAGAGCTTGAAGTAAGAACCTTGGTAGGCGATATGGTTGTAAAACAATAGGAAATATGAAGGAAAAAAGCCTCTTGATAGAATTTAGTCAATAAATGCATAATTGTATCAGCAAGGCCATTGAGCAGGTCAAATTTAAAAAAAATATAAAGATATGTCTGTGACATAGAGAAAATTAATACTTGAATTGTGATTTTTATGTCATGTTTTTAAAATATATAGGCTAAAGGAGCATGATGAAAGAAGTTCATTGTAGGAGTGAGAGGTGGCTGACCTTTAGAGGTTTACAAGACTAAGATAAAACATTTTTGAGAGGCAAGTGTACTACTACCATGTGTGGAAGACTCCTTGATTGGTCTGTATCTCATTGCATCTGGTAATAGAGCATATTTAACACTAGGAAGCTGTTTTGGGAACTGATCACCTGAGATCTTTTCGTTTTTAAATCACATTGAACTCGTGCTTATGAAAAATTCTCAAGGGAATTGTCAGTCTGTTACTTTTCTGCAAATGAGTGTGAATTGATGACTTCCCTGGAACTATAGACTCTAGAAATTCTGGCAAAGATATTGGATATATTATTTCCCTTTCAAAATTTTTTATAAGGTGTGGTGGGTTGAAAATTGATGGTCAATTTAAGCACCAGGTGAACTGAATCAGCATGGCGCTGAGTGTAAATGCTCATCTGAGGACTGTTGCCAGCATAAAAAAGGAGACTGTAGAGGAAGAGTAGTGTTGGTGTTCTTCGGTGCTGCTGATTCTCCTGTTGCCGTGGGTTCTGAGGACCTTGTGGAGTTTCTTTCCGGATGTAAACTTGGCTGTTACCATTGTCACAGGAACTCAGGACCTCATTGTCCCTGAGGATGACTATGGTACTTTTCTGCAGAGCTCTCTGATTCTTACTTTGAGCCTTGTTTCCTGGCTCCATTGCAGGACCCTCAGCCTACTGAGACAGTCCTTCATCCTACTAGCACAGACTTTTTAGCTTCCACTGCTGACCTTGAGGCCTTCCCATTGCAGACCCATGAAACAGACTTGCATGAATCATTGTTGTGGGCTCTAGGCCTCCAGCCGGTCTCATGGAAGGCATTGTCATGGGCTCTAGGTCTTAAACTGAACTCATGCACGATATTGCCATGGGATCCAGGCCCTAGGCTGGATTCTCAAGGTCTTTAGTGTCTGGAGAGATTTCCTGCTCTTTCTTTGTATTTGACTCCTTGAGTGACCATTAAAACACTACTATAAATTGTGTATCCTGCATTGTCGTGTTCTCATTCCAAACTCCAAACTACAACATAAAGTATATAAGGATATATAATAAGAGTTTTCATTTATAACATATATTTAAAAAACTGTATAACTTTTTTTAGGAGCTTAGTCAAAAAATTCATAATTTTATGAACAAGGTCACTGGGCAGATAAAATATAAGAAGGAAAGATAGAGGTGGAAACACACTTGTGAGATGTTTATAGAAAATCAGTAAGTGAACTAATATTATATTGCAATTTTTAAATAAATAGGCTCTAGACAATATTTTTATTTTAGCAAATGAAGATAAAAAGATGTATTTTAACAAGTCAATGTGGGCCCTCCCAAACTAATGAAATGCTGTTAATAAAAACTTAACACAGATTATTTTTCCAGAAGGCTTTATTTTGTATACTATGTTCCATATTTGTTTGCAAATTGGTATTTAACATTACTTTCATTTATTCAGTATTCTAATCTTAGAAACTATTATCTAAAGCTATCTAGCAAATACTACAGATATTAGTATGTGCATTTTATTCAAATAATACCTTTAAAATATAATAAAAGGAAATAAGACTTACTTTTATTTTCTTTTTGCTTCCTTTTCTTCCTTTTAAATGTCAGCTTGATGTAGTGGAAAGAGAAAGGTTCTGCAGTCAGGTAGACCTGGCCATTTTTTTGCCTCTACCTCCTGTAACCAAGCTATACAACTGCACTAAGTTCCATTCTATGAACATTAAGTGGTACTCGAAAACAACAACAAAAAAACTATATATGCCTATAGTTGGCACAGTGCAATCCTTCTGTAGATGCAATACCATGGATTATCTTTCTCTTGAATCATATATGTTTCTTTTGCTTTGAATTTCTTTGTGAAGAAAAACCTTACAATATAACAAAGACATTTTGTTTCTGCAAATTAATGTGCACTTTGGTTCAGTTCCATACTATTTCTTGAGAGTTTATGATATGCCAACCACTGTGTCAGACAGAGGAAACACAAAGATAAATGACACCCAACTTTGACTTTCAAGAACATACACTTCAGTATGGAGACAACGTGACTAGTGTGACTCAGTGTGACTAGAGTTGAATATCTGAGGCATGTTCAACATGCATTAAGGAGGGCAGATGAACCAAACTGTTGTCCCAGGGACACCTTTAATCACACTGACATGTTTTGAAGAATGATTAACAAGTTTTTGGGTTAAGTAGCATGTTTACTGTATCTTAATGACACAGATATGTCCGGGCTTTGTGAGTCTTGAAGCTTAAATCATTTGAATATCCTTTAAAAGCATATAAAATTGCAAATTTAACATTTTGTGAACATGAAAAATCTCAAAAAGGATTATTTTTTCTGTGAGCACATTAGGCATTTAAAAGAAACGCTCATGTAGAAAGTCTTAGAAGTTTTTACTATATTGCTACTGAACTGGCACTCTTCTCCTAGAAAAGCTATAACTTCAGCAACAATCAGTTCTTAGGAGTGTGTGTGTGTGTGTGTGTGTGTGTGTGTGTGTGTTTCTATATGCATGTGCATGTGTCTTTGCTACTGGCCAAAAGGTCTACATATCATTGAATCATGGTAAATTCACCTGGTTTAACAAATCCTTTAGAAGGTGTTTTTCACTGAGCATATCTATGAATTCAAAACATTGCTGAGAATCTAGTTTTGAACAGGTAAGCAGAATGTATGTGGAACTGATTAATTCTGTAACATTTTAAAAGAGTTTATTGGTTTTCAGATGACTTATTCAATAGAGAACAAAATTATTCTAACATTTAAAGTGCCTATCTGTGCCTTGAATATTGTGATTAGCTTAATTAGGATGGTTAAATCTCTCTCTCTCTCTCTCTTTCTTTCTTTCTTTCTCTCTCTCTCTCTCTCATTTTAGCCCAAGGTGGTTGTTACAGCCTCATTTGGCATTGAACCTGGACGGAAAGTAGAATACATTCCACTCATAGAAGAAGCCCTAAGAATAGGGCAACACAAACCTGACAAAGTTCTCATTTATAATCGTCCAAATATGGTAACCTCAATATTTAATTTGGCTCTTGTTTATGGTACTGTAATAAGAATGATTCTAGTTTTGAATATTTGAAAGGAGTACTTGATGGATAAACTGTTAAATATGTATTCTTAATGTCTTTGTAGGAAAGAAAGATATAAATAAAGCTTACTGTCTTCATAAAGAACTAGCTTAAAGTATAAATCTTGAAATGTAGAAATACATTAATATTAATAAATTCAGTTCTATTGTGGGGTTATTCATAGCTCTGAATTTTACAATAATATCAGCAGATACTAATTAACTACATAGTGTTTGATTTTTAAGACACTCTAATAATTTTCACCTGATGTCTGCCTTATTTGTACATCCAGGTAAGTTCTCAGCTATTTATGATGAGACCGAATTGTATTCTTTGAAGAATAAAATATTTTTAGAAAGAGAAATTATAAGAGTGCAAAGACTCATGCATTATTTTGTGAAATTCTTGAGAGGTTATCTGCGGGAAATACTTAAATGACAGGATATGAGAACAGTGTTGAAACTATGTCATTTTGATTTGCACCTACCAATTTCTAGTACCATGTTCAATTTCTGGGTAGAGATTTAGTATCTGTGGTTCATAAACTGCTGCACTCAACAATTTTAATACTCTTACATTCTTGAAGAAGAATTTTAAGCTTTTGTCAGATGACCACAAGCATACTTCTTAAAAAATGACTTTGTTTCTATTTCAATCAAGGAATACAAAGTCAGCAACAAAAATGTTCTTAGATAAGAGAGGATAGTGGAATGGGAGCAACATGCAAAATAAGTGTGTTTGAGCATACATATGTGTGCATACATATGGATTCATGTAGAATGTGTTGTAGTTTTTTTGTTTTTTTTGTCTTTTTCATTTTTATCGGTACCGGGGATCGAACTCACGACCGCCTGCTTGCAAGGCAGGTGCTTATGCCACTGAGCTAAACCCCCAGCCCGATTCATGTAGAATGTATAAAGAACTCATGATAGGCTAAGCTCAATGCTAAGTACTACCTAATGCTTTCTTAAATTTAATTCTCACAGACTCATTGTATTTTACTTGTGAAGAAACTCAGCCATGACACAGTGCAAAATGCAGCAAATATGTGTTCATGCCAGGACTAAATTCTGATTTAATGACTTTTGAACATCAAGATAATATATTATCTCTTTATAAACATGGCGTGTGTTTTCTATTTAGATTTTTTCAATGCAAGTCTCTTCTCTTTCTTCTTAAAAGAGATGTGCTCTCCCCTGCTCAAGCCCCAGCCCACAACTAGCTTGCTACTCTGCCCATCTTCCTTTTGTCTCCAAGCTGTTTCCTCTATTGTGACATACAGGAGGGCTTTGAATCCCTTTGCCTTTTATGTGAGACCTACTGTTTAGGCAGTAATTAAACCCAGTTGATTGATTTGCTTTGAGTTTAGAAAGACAGAAATTAGGAGGCTGATGTATCTCATTAACAAAAATTGCATTTTTGCTGGAGGAAGTAAAAATTTGGCTGCTACTGTGACACCTCAGGCAAGCAGTGACAGAATCAAAAGCAGATCACAGCAGTCACTCTGGTAGTGTTTCTATACATCCTTTAAAAAATTATAACAACTAGGAAGTAAATGTATATGGGTAAATGTCAATGCTGACTTTTCTCTTCCTTCATTTGGTCAGACCTTATTTATTCATACCTGTAGTTCTTATGCTAAAGAATAAACATTTATTCACTACAGATTTATAAAAATCATAGATCTATAAATTTTTGTAATCATTCAATCCATTTTTTTCATTTCACAGTGAGCTGATTTTTATGCTTCTAATTGTTAATGTCAAAAAGTTTGATAATTTATAATTAGTTGTTTTTATCCAGTGAATAAAAGTAAATGAAAGCATGATTTGCTCATAGCTTACTATTGCTATTTGTCTAAATGGCATCAGCTAGTGCCTGCCAGAGTGGGGTTAGAGAGGCCACTAGGTCTCACATTTCACCTTAATGGTCTCCAGTTTGTTGCAGAAACCTGGTACTCAACTGACCAGAAGGTGCTCTGCACCAAGGAGTTGAAATATCCATACACCATGTTTGTAAAGAACTAATATATATCTTGTCGTTTATTATGCCACTGAGCTGGTAGGAAGACCAGTTCCAAATCACCAGTCCTGGCATGGAGTAAAACAGAAACTTATATGTGATTTGCAAGCAGAAAGTACAAAAGCTGATAACGAGTTAGTCTATAATCGGTTATATAGGTTGGGTTACATGTTGTTAGATTTCTCTTTGGCAGGTTAGTCAGAGGGGTCGTTTATCATAAGGTGGGAGAAACTAGAAAGGAGCTAAGGTTGGGGAGGTAATTGAGCTAGTCTATATTGGTTAGACAGTCCTTGAAAATAGAATATATCATCTCAGACAGTACATCTCAGATAGCAGAGGCAGTCCAGATGGATGCAGTCAGACTGAGCCAGGTCAGGCAATCTCTAAGTTGCAGCTGGTGGGGTCAGTCAAGGCTGAATCTAATGGTCTAACTGTCTTGGGCTGGGTGAGCACATCGTCTTAACATGGCATCTGACTGTTAGTTTTTAACTTTTCTATCACAAGTTCAGATTGCTATCTACAAATGTGTTCATTTGTGCAGGTATTTCATTTGTGATATATTAAAATATTCATTTGTAAATATACATATATATATATATATATATATATATATATATATATGAATAGGTTTTATAAATTAACATAATATGGATCCCAGACAGTGACAGCTTTTCTATATATCTTACAGTCTTTGTGCTTAGCTGAAATACCACCTTCATGAAGTGAATGATTACATACATTTTGATCTATGGATCTCACTAACTTTACTAAGGAACTTGTGCCTTTGCTAACACGTTCATCAATCATAAAGCTCTTAATGTGTGATCTTGAACTTAATGTTTCTGAAAACAATCAAGTATTTAATGGGCATTAATTCATCTTACACAGCTATAACTCTTCATTAGGCTAACTTTTCCCTAAGTCATTACTTTACTCTTCAGCTCTGGCAATTTCACAGTCACTGTGTTTAAAGACAGCTTTAATTTATTTAAAGGCATACCAGTTTAACTGATGACTCTGTTATCCCAAAGTTAATAATTTTGGTTCTAAGAAAAAGAAAAACATTTCTATCATATGAATTAATGATCCAGAAGAAGAAAATTTAGATAGCATTGTGTATGTATTACAGCAATTTAAAAATTGGTCATTATTCTTTTGTTATTTCAAAGACAAAAATAAAAAAAAAAGAATAAACTAGAGTTTTAAAACAGGTTATTAGGAACATTATAATAATTAATATATTGCATGTTGTTGTCTTCATAATATATATTCAGAGTACAAGATACAGGCATGATATCTTGTCCAAAAATATTAGCACAAACTTTCTTTTCAATGAACTAAGAGAAACTAACTGTATAACTATCTTAAATATCTTTATTTAAATGTATTTTTTCCTTTCTTATTTTCTTCTTTCCCCCTTGGTCCTAGTTCTTGAAAAAAACAAGAGTAATATTCTCCTCTAGCTCAGAAGATAATTTGACATTTTGTCATTTGGCTGCAGTGTTACTCACAATTGCCCTTACATGAAGAGAAATTTAATAGGTTAGTTGACATTTCATTGTGAAGACAGAACTTTTATAGCAAAAGAAATAGGATACAAAAAATGGAATTTACCGTATAAAATTCTTGGGGCTCATGCGTCTATGGAAACATGAATCTCAGTGCTAATTAAGCCCTGAGTGTTGAAGGAAACTTAACTGCATCAGATTAAATTTCTTACCAGTATCCCTAAATTTGAATAAAACATGTTCTTATCAATTCACTGAAGCCTACATCACACTTCTGGGACTTTTTGTAAACACTTCTCTTAACTCACAAGCTTGAGATTTTTAGTCATAAAACCAATGTTTAGTGCCACGTGGGTGTAGATTTTCAGGCTTATATGAAGTTAGCTACTATATTGTTCCCTTTATTTAACCTCCTTTCTACAGTGCGTATGCTTTGTATTTTTGCTGTTTAGGATCAAGTTCCTTTGGTGCCAGGTCGTGATCTTGACTGGGAAGAAGAAATGGCAAAAGCCCAGTCCCATGACTGTGTTCCTGTCCTTTCAGAGCATCCACTGTATATTCTTTACACATCTGGAACAACTGGGTTACCTAAGGTATTTCATCTCTCAGGGATAAACATCCATAATAAAACATTTCTTTTGCAGTGAGAATATCTGATTACTGATCTATAATGCTTAAAGATTGCACTTTTATGTCTAGACATAGGTTATAGCTTAATTTGTGCTTAATACTAAGCAGGTATTTAATTTTCTTATTTAATTTTAGCTATATGTTTACTCTTTCAGTAATGGAGATCAAACTCAGGGCAAAAATACATGTATTTTAAATGAAATAAAATTATTTTTAAAAAATGAGATATAGCTTCCATGTTATGGCACTGGTTTTTGGTCTAGAAGAATTCACTTCTTCGTCATAAATATGTTTGAGAATTGGCCTAGACAATTAGAATAACAGCAGTGTGGAAGATACTCAACAGTTCCTTTCTTTCTTTTCTTTGTTTTTAAGACAGAACTATTCACTACATAGTTCAGGATGTTCTTGCATTTACTAGGTAGCCAAGGATGAACTCAAATGGGTGGCAATCCTCCTGTCTCAGCTTCTGGAGTACTGGAACTGAAGGCATGTGCCACCCTGCCCAGCCAATACTCAAGAATTTTGAATCTGATTACTATGAAGACTTGTTCTGCATAGGAAAGTTAAATGCATCAGTATTCATAAATGTTTTAGATGTCAACAAATACTACATTTGGTGGTATTTTCAAATAATACTGTTTCTTTACACAACTTCACCAAAGTATACAGTATCATCCTGCATATCATTTTTGTTAGAAGACTCAGTACTCAGTGAGTCATAGCACTTTAGTGGAGGAAGAGGATTTCACAATCATTTTCATCCTCGGGAATAGAGATATCTATTAGATTTCTATAGCATCAGAGTCTGAAAATGTATTTTCTTAATTTTAATTATTTTAAAAGTAATATATTTTCTAAAAGGAAATGGAAGGCCTGCCATTAAAATTTGCATATTAAAAAGAAAACCTTTGATGGGGGAATATATTCTCTCTGAACAGAGATCGTATTTTATTACATTTTGTTCTGTCATTATGTTTGCATATAGTTGGTCATTTGTAATTTTTTGTCAGATATGTGAGTAAATAAATGCATATATATGTAAAGATACATGTCTTATGTGAGGTGTTGTGATATTTTAGAATGCTAGTCACTTGGTAACTAAACAGTTAGGTTGAAGACTGAGAGTTGTTTTTTTAAGTAGTTCATATGATTTACTGGACATAATTTTTACCCTCCAGATTTTTTTTTTTTTTTTTTCCATTTTTACCGGTACCGGGGATCGAACTCGCGACTGCCTGCTTGTAAGGCAGGTACTTATGCCGCTGAGCTAAATCCCCAGCGCCCCCCCCCTCCAGATTTTGTGATATTCAATTTAACATTTGACTATCAAATAAAGAAAGAGCCAGAAACTGTTGTGCATCTGTACAATTTTACCCAGCTTTGAGGGAGATTGAGGCAGGAGACTGACAAATTCTAATCCTGTCTCCTAAACTAATTTTTAAAAAAAGTTCTGGGAAAGAAGCTTAGTTGTAAAGAATGCCTGATGTTCAAGCCCCAATGCTATTAGTAAGTAAATAAATAAACAAATAAGAAACTCAATAAAATTAAATCCATTCTAAAAATAGTAATATAAGAGGAAATTCTGAGACTAAAAACATGCTATAACACAATCAAACTTAAAAGACGAAAAAACTAAGAACAACAAAGTAAAAGTTTCTTGGAACTTAAAAGTTCCAAGAAATTCTATCTCAGACTTTAAAACATTTTGAAATTCACTATGACCTGGACTAGGACCTGTTTAAAAGGAGAAGGGTTTATCAGCAATTTGAAGCTGATTCACCCAGTGTAAAAGAAATTTTAAAAAATAATACAAAGACTATTAAGTTTGAAAACTAGCAATTCCAGATAAGGAAGGGATTTTTTTTTTAAGTTACCCTGTTTTCTCTTAGTCAACGAAATTGTCTGTGGATTCCTTTCAGCACCCAAATCTTTTCGTTTGATGTTTCTGTCATCCTCTGTCATTTTCCTTCTAATATGTTATCTTGAAGTGTATATGCAAGCAATTTGGAGATTTTATTAATTGCTTGGAAATTTCCCCATTTATATTGTGCAAGTACTAAGTGCTCATTCTTAGTGAGAGCAGGGTAAAAGTATACATTAACCACAGTCCTGCTAATTTACTTTGGAGGAGGTATTCATGCACAAAGGTAACAGCAAGACAGACTGTGTGATTCATTCATCAGGGAGATAGGTGACTGCATCCATGGACGGAAGGAGGTTGTTTTCGAGTCTGTTTAGTTTAGGATTTTACTTTCATACTTAATGGGAAGGGAAAGATTCGACTGGAGATTGGGAGAGAGACTGAGAAAGAGAGAAAACAGAGGGGGTGATTTTGAATATTGACTGTGGTAGAAGTATAGGAGAATGGTTTGGGGCTGGGAGAGCCATAGTAGGTATATTGACTTTGGAAACATTAACACGGAGATGATGCCCAGTTAGCAACTGAAGTGAGAGCTGAGCCCAAGATGTACACCTGGGGCTGGAGTGTAGACATTTTTGTGTCATCACTGTAGAGAATTGGAGTTTAAATCATGGGAGCAAATGAGCTTTGCATTGTGACCTGCAGAATAACAAGAGAAGATAGGTACAGCTCAGCATCCCTCATGCTTTTCTCACCTCCACTGGAGTCAAGAATCATAGTTTTGAACTTACATATTGCCAGTAGACCTTTATGATACTTATGAACATATCATGATGGTGTTGGAGGGTATTTGTACTTCTTTAGTTATATTTCACTAACTAATTACAAAATTTGACCATAGCAGATCCTCAGAATATTCAATGAATCATGTCTGACTTCTTCAGTTAATTCTTCATTTTCTCTTTATTTAGGCAATTTTCACCTCATTTTTGTAATTCTAACTAGGATAAATAATATATGAATTGTCATACTGATATCTGCAGAATGCAAGGACAGAAAAGATGAACAAACCTGCAGTATTGAAATACATTTAATAGCATCATAGCTTATTTTCTTGATCTTTGAGCTACATGAAGAAAATAATATTATGAGCTCATAAAAATATTCTACTCATAATATTTATTGCTTATAGGCACATAAAAGACAGATATTAAGGAGTCTGTTTTTTGGAGAGAATTTGCAGATTTATTATGGCATATTTGCATCTTGGCATCTACCAACTGTGGAGTTGTCAGGTTGCTATAGGACAGGTTAATCTCTTAGCAAACACTCCAACAATCACAACTAAGCTACTTTGCATACATTTCTGTTACATTATGACCTTCTATCCTGTTTGATTTTGGTACCTGGATTCAGTATATTTCAATGTCCTACACAATAAAAATCCCTTGTCTGCATGTAGAGTTCTTTTGGGAATGGAGGATTTAGTCGTGGTCATATTTATCATCTTCCAGCTTGATATCATGGCAGGACGGTGATAACAAAAAATAAATAAATCCAGTGACAAAGGAGAATAGGGGAAACCAGGAGGAAGGCATTGGTAGAAAGGCATAACAAGGTGACTGATAAGGCCTTTTGTTCTTTTATGCATTACTACAATTTATCATTTTATTTCTAATTTTTATTAGGAGATTATACCCATTCCTTGCTCTAGGGAAAAAAGGAACTCTCTCTGTGTGTGTGTGTGTGTGTGTGTTTGTGTAAGGAAGAGAGAGAGAAGGGTAAATCTTTTTATGTTGTTTTAATCCATGGTACAATTCTTGCTGTTAAAATGCTGAACTTGCTACATCTTTGCTCCTTATCTCACAGATGTTCAGATCAATAAAAAATTATACACTTTCCACAGAGATAGTTTCAGAGTCATCTAAAAGCTTGCAGCAAGAGATTTTATATTAGATGAAATAGCCCAAATGGAGTCACTCCATTTCTTCTAAAATGATAGTTCCAAAAGTTTCAAGGGTTTCTTCTGAAAAAAGAAAGGTATCTTTACAAAGTTGTATTATTCATACTAGAGTTTCTTCACTCTACTCTTCATTCATTCAGTCAACAAACATATGAAATGCCCATTCTATGCTGTACATGGCACTGAAAATATAAAGGCATTATCCTCCCTGGCGTCAGAGAGGTAGAGCAGGGTGGGATGGTGATGTCAGTGCTCTGATGAGGTTTGATGATTCTGGGGACTTTTGGATATGAAGGAGAGACACACAACACAACAGATTTTGCTACCAATCAAAACATATGGGTAATATATTATCCATAAAAGAAACTATGTTTTTTATCCTCTGCACAATAAATGAACTTTTCTAGAAGAACTGTTTGCAAAATGATTAGTATCTAATTACTCAAGTTATTGAGGCATAGGTTAGACCTTGTGATTAATTAACAAAGGACATGTAACACAGGATAGAATATGCAGGGAGAGTAGCTGCTCATTGTATGTAGCAAAATGAACACGTGAAGCTTAGTGCCAGTGAGCCTGGAGGCATGTCCTCGGTGGTGGCAGTAGGTCGGTGGTGGCAGTAGGTTTCCATTGCTTGTGTGTATAAGAAGGAACTGATCAAGTGTAGAAAAAGAGGGAGGACTCATTCTAGGAACAAGGGATTAAAAGAATAAAGTCATTATCATAGCAAGGTTATCATTTATGTGCAGAAATTTTGAGTAAACCAGAACTGTTTTGCATGATTCTCTAAATCCAATCATAATTTGGTAATATATTTATAATGTATTTGTTTGTTTGACTTTTGAAACATGATCTTGTTACGTATTTCAGGCAGGTCTATATCTCACTGTCCAGACCAGGATAGCTTCAAACTCAAAGAAGTCCTACTGTCTTAGCCTCTTAAGTCCTGGGAGTATAGGTGTGTTGCACTACACCTGACATGGATTTATTAAATATGATATATGTCTTGGTTACTTTTCTCTCACTGCTGGGAAAAAATACCCAAAACTCAAAATTAAGGAAGGAGCAGTTTAATTAGTTCAAATTTTGTGGAAGTCTCAGTCCATATTTGGCTGGCTACAAGGCATAGTGGCACA